AAAACTTGATCTTATCTTGGGAAATAAGGCAGAATAAGTGACTGAAGTGTTAGTGATTGAGCACTTGGGACCAGTGATCATAATTTTATTAGTTTTAAATAGTTATGGAAAAGGATAGGGCTTGTGTAAAAGTTAAAGTTCTTGATTGGAGTAAGGCCAATTTTAATGGTATGGAACAGGAACTTTCAAAAGTTGATTACAGCAGACTGTTTGCAGATGAAGGCAAGTGGAAGGCTTTCAGAAGTGTGATAATAAGAGTTCAGAGGCATTATGTTCCTGTTGGAGTGAATGGTAAGGCTGGTAGGTATAGGGAATTATGGGGATGAATAAAGATATTAAGGCTCTGATCAAGAATAAGGAGGAGACATATGTTAGCTGTAGACAACTGGGATCAAGTGAATCTCTTAAAGAGGATAAGGGGCATAGGGGCATTCTTAAGAGGGAAATCAGGAGGGCCAAACGGGGATATGAGATAGGCAGATAAAGTTAAGGATAATCCAGAGAGCTTCTACAAGTCCATTAAGAGCCAAAGATCAACTAAGGAGAGACGAGTTCAGATCCCACCATGGCAGATGGCAAAATTCAAAGTCAATAAAAATATCTGGAATTAAGAATCTAATGATGACCATGAAACCATTGTCGATTGTTGGAAAAACCCATCTGGTTCACAACTACCTGGACCATCTCTGATACCTCTCTCCTTCCTGGACCTCTCTGTCTCCATCTCTGGCATCCACCTGGAAACCGATATCCATTTCAAGCCTACCGACTCACACAGCTACCTAGAATACACCTCCTCTCACCCACCTTCCTGCAAAAAGGCCATCACCTATTCCCAATTCCTTCGCCTCCGCCGCATCTGCTCCTGAGATGAGGCGTTCCACTCCTGGACATCCCAGATGTCCTCGTTTTTCAAAGACCACAACATCCCCCCTCAGTGGTCGAAAATGCCCTCGACCGTGTCTATCGCATTTCCCGCAACTCATCCCTCACACCCCCTCCCCACAATAACAACAAAAACAGAATCCCCCTCATCCTCACATACCACCCCACCAACCTCCGAATCCAACGCATCATCCTCCGACACTTCTGCCATCTGCAGTCCGACCCCACTACCAAAGACACTTTTCCCTCCCCACCCTTATCTGCTTTCCGGAGGGACCACTCTCTCCGTGACTCCCTTGTCCACTCCACACTTCCCTCCAGTCCTACCACCCCTGGCACTTTTCCCTGCAACCGGAGCAAGTGCTACACCTGCCCCTACACCTCCCCTGTCACCCCCATCCCAGGCCCTAAGAAGACCTTCCACATTAAACAGATGTTCACCTGCACATCTGCTAACGTGGTATACTATATCCGCTGTTCCCGTTGTGGCCTCCTCTACATCGGGGATACCAAGCAGAGGCTTGGGGACTGCTTTGCAGAACACCTACGCTCAGTTCGCAACAAACAACTACATCTCCCAGTCGCGAACCATTTCAACTCCCCCTCCCACTCCTTGGACGACATGTCCATCCTGGGCCTCCTGCAGTGCCACAATGATGTCACCCGAAAGCTGCAGGAACAGCATTTCATATTTTGCTTGGGAACCCTGCAGCCCAAGGGTATCAATGTGGACTTCACAAGCTTCAAAATTTCCCCTCCCCCGACCGCATCCCAAAACCAGCCCAGCTCGTCCCCGCCTCCCTAACCATTCCTCCCAACTCAAGCCCCACCCCCATCTCCTACCCACTAACCTCATCCTGCCTCCTTGACCTGTCCGTCCTCCCTGGACCGACCTATCCCCTCCCTAACTTCCCACCTACATTCACGTTTACTGGCTCTATCCCCGCCTCTTTGACCTGTCTGTCTCCTCTCCACCTATCTTCTCCTTTATCCATCTTCTAGCCGCCTCCCCCTCTCTCCCTATTTATTTCAGAATCCCCTTCCCCTCCCCCATTTCTGAAGAAGGGTCTCGACCCGAAACGTCAGCTTTCCTGCTCCTCTGATGCTGCTTGGCCTGCTGTGTTCATCCAGCTCTACACCTTGTTATCTCAGATTCTCCAGCATCGGCAGTTCCTACTATCTCTGGTTCAGTAATATCCTTTGGGGAAGGAAATTGCCGTCCTTACCTGGTCTGACCTACATGTGACTCCAGACCCACGGCAATGTGGTTGTCTAGCGATGCCCTCATCCTGTTAATGAACAAAGGAAATGCAATTCAATACAGGTAAGTGTGAGGTGTTGCATTTTGGAAACTCAAACCAAGATAGGACTTATACAGTAAATGTTAAGGTCCTGAGGAGTGTTGCAGACCAGAGGGATCTAGAAGTACAAGTACATAGTTCGTTGAAAGCGGCATCACAGGTAGGTAGGGTGGTGAAGAAGGCATTCAGCATGGTGGCTTTCATCGCTCGAGGCATTGAGTATAGGAGTTGGGATGTTATGTTACAGTTGTATAAGTCATTGGTGAGGTGACACTTGGAGATTTCTGTACAGTTTTGGTCACCCTGTTAAAGGAAAGACATAGTTAAACTGGAAAATGTGCAAAGAAGATTTATGAGGATGTTGCCAGGACTAGTAGGCCTGAATTATAGGAAGAGGCTGGCCAGGATAGGGCTTTAGTCCTTGGAACGTAGGAGAATGAGGGGTGACCTCATTGAGGTGTACAAAATCATGAGGGGCATAGATAGGATGAATGTATATAGTCTTTTTGCCAGGGATGGGAAATTGAAAACTAGAGGGCATAGGTTTAAGGTAAGAGGGGATACATTTAAGGGGCAACTTCTTCTCCTAGAGAGTGGTGCATATATCGAATGGGGTGCCGGAGAAAGTGGTTGAGGCAGGTACAATAGCAACATTTAAAAATCATTTTGATAGGTACATGGATGAGAAGGGTTTAGAAGGATGTAGACCAAATGCAGGCAATTGGAACTAGCTGAGTGGGCACCATGGTCAGCATGGACCAGTTTGGGGTGAGGAACCTGTTTCCATGCTGTATTACTCTATGACTCTATGATAATAGGGCCCCTTAAAGATCAATGAGGTCGTTTTTGTGTTGAACCTCAGGAGATGGGAGAGATATTAAATGAATATTTCATGTCAGTATTTACTGTGGAGAAAAACGTGGAGACTAAGCATCTCAGGGAAATATGCATTGATATCTTGAAAACAGTCCACACTACAGAAGGGGAGGTGTTGGAGGTCTTATAAAAGTGGCTAAATCTCTGGGACCTGATCAAGTGTCTGCAGGACATTGTGGGATGTTAGGGAAAAAATTTGCATGGCCCTTAGCAGCAATATGTGTATCACCTACAGTCCCGGGTGAAGTACTGGAGGGTGGCTAATGTTGCGTCTTTATTTAAGAAAGGCAATAAGGAGAAGCATGGGAATTATAGATCGGTGAGTCTGATAACAGTGGTGGGTAAGTTGTTGGAGGGGATTCTGAGAGATAGCATTTACATGCATTTGGAAAGGCAAGGACTGATTAGGGCTAGTCAGTGTGGCTTTGTGTGTGGGAAATCGTATCTCAAAAGTTTGATTGAGTTTTTTGAGGATGTGACCAAAAAGGTAGATGAGGGCAGAGATTTTGTCAAAGTTTTTATTGATGTCCATATAGACAGTGTTCCAAATGGTAGATTGGTTAGTAAAGTTAGATCACATGGGATTCAGAGAGAGCTTGCCAATTGGCTACAAAATCGGCTTGATGGTAGGAGACTGGGTTTTGGTGGAGGGTTGTTTTTAGGGCTTGAAACCTGTGACTAGCGATGTTCTGCAGGGATTGGTGCTGGGTCCACTGTTGTTTGTCATTTATATAAATGCTTTGGATGAGAATTTAGGAGGTGTGGTTAGTTTGCGGATGACACCAAAATTGATGGTTCAGTGGACAATGAAGGTTATCTAAGATTACAAAGGAATCTTGATCAACTGGGCCAATGAGCCAGGGAGTGGCAGATGGAGTTTACTTTGGATAAGTGTGAGGTGTTGCATTTTGGTAAGACGAGCAAGGGCAAGACTTATACAGTTAATGGTAGGGTTCTAGGTAGTGCTGTCGAACAGAGAGATCTAGGGGTTCAGGTACATTGTTCCTTGAAAGTTACGTTGCAGGTAGATAGGGTAGTTAAGAACACGTTTAGCACACTTACCTTCATTGCTCAGACTATTGAGTATAGGAGTTGGAACATCATTGTTGTGGTTGTACAGGACTTTGTTGAGGCCATTTTTGGAGCACTGTGTACAGTTCTGGTCACCCTGCTATAGGAAAGACATTATTAAATTGGAGAGGGTTCAGAAAATATTTACAAGGATGTTGCCAGGACTGGAGGGTTTGAGTTATAGGGATATGCTGGGAATTTATTCACTAGAGCATAGGAAGTTGAGGGGGTGACCTTATAGAGGTTTATAAAATCTTGAGGGCATAGATAAGGTGAATAGCAAAGATCTTTTCTCTAGGGTAGGGGAGTTCAAAACTAGAGGCATACTTTTAAGGTGAGAAGAAGAGGATTTGAAAGGGACCCGAGGAGCAACTTTTTTACTCAGAGAGTGGGTCATATGTGGAATAAACTGCCAGAGGAAGTGGTGCTTGCAGGTACAGTTACAACATTTAAAATACATTTGGACAGGTACATAAATAGGAAAGGTTTAGAGGGATATGGGCCAAGTGCAGGCAAGTGGGACTAGTTTAGTTTGTAAAACATGGTTGGCATGGATGAATTGGACTGAAGGGTCTGTTTCCTTATTGTATGACTCTATGACAAGTCACCTTACTGAATAACCTTGATTCATCTGCAGATGCAACTGCTTCGTTTCTGGGTAAGTGGCATGTCATTACTTGTGGAGAGGCCATGAGCACAACTCGAAAGCAGGTGAAAGTGTACAAAACTTGTTTGCCTTTAGTTATTGCGAAGTAACATTTTCCAATAGGCCAGCACCTTGATTGATGACTTTGTCTATGGTGCATAAAAGTTACTCAGTTAGACAACATTACTTGCTAGTTAAGGTTTTTGTAACTTGTCTTTCAGCAAACACTGGATTCAGGTCGGATTGGTATTGCCTCGCAGGCCCTCGGAATTGCTCAGGCAGCCCTGGACTGTGCTGTGGACTATGCTGAGAAAAGGATGGCCTTTGGCTCACCAATCTCCAAACTTCAGGCTATTCAGGTAAAAATTGGTACAGTCACTCCCATTGAGTGTCTCCTAAGTGTCCACTGCACAGTAATGGGAGGTCCCGCAATATCAGGCAATTGAGAGATCACTGCAGATATTCAGCCACAAGGTATTTACAATAACTAGAGTTAAAATTGGACTACTCATAATATGGACAATAGATGGCAGGGGCACACTGGGTTTAACTCTCCTAATAGGTTGATATAAATCTTGGGAAGTTTGAATGATGTCTGGTCACCGATAGCAGTTTTCTGTTAAGTATTCCTCAACACAATAGGACTGCACATATGAAGTGATATTTCCACAACGTTCTTTTTGAAAGTAAAGTACTAATTTGGAAAGTTTTCACACGGGTGACCCTAGACAGTGTTGCCTGCAAGTGATTTATACATTGATTCCCCTTCAAACTCCTTCTCAGTAATATAAAAATCACAGCATGTTTACATTTCTGGCACTTTTGCAGATTTGGCTGTCTCCTCCTTCAAAATAGCAGCAGCAGCTTAAGTTATTATAACACAGTGTGGAGCTGGAAGAACACAGCAGGACAGGCAGCATCAGAGGAGCAGGAACGTTGACGTTTCCGGTCAGGACCCTTCTTCAGAAAAGGGTCTCGACCTGAAACATCAACTTTCCTGCTCCTCTGATGCTCCCTGTCCTGTTGTGTTCTTCCAGCTCCACACTGTGTTATCTCTGACTCCAGCATCCGCAGTTCTTGTTATCTCTCAGATTAAATTGTTATCCAGTCACTAACCAACCTGCTCTGTTCTCCAATTTCAAAGTCAGCAGCTGGCAGAAAATTTGTAAAAATAGTATGCAGTGAAACAGATAGTAACAGACTTCAGGAAATTGTAGGCTTCTGAAATCAGGAGAGACAAGGCAGGATCAATTTAATTTAGGAAACTATGAAGGATAAGGAGAAGCAGTATAAACTAAATGTT